TCTATATTTAATTTCAGTTTTAATTATTTATATCAGTTGGATTTAACTGAAATTTTTTCTTCTTTAAATAATCAGAAAACCAAAAAAAAAGGATTGTGGCCAATATTCACAAAAAGAATTATGGGCAATTAAAAAAATTGAAAAATTAAGATAAAAAAAGGGAAATTCCCAAAAAAACCCTTGGAATATAGGAAATTCTTGATTGGGTCTTGAAATTATGCAAATGACAGAAAGGGTCAATAACCTCATTTGTCATTTGTAAAATCAAGAGGAATTGACAACTTTATCCTGACTAAGCAAAATTGAGTCGTTATTCTCTAAACAAATCTAGATAACACGTGTACTGTTCTAGTAATTACATGATTAGTTGTAATCAATAACAAGACATCTAACTATGAAAAAGTGCGTAGTTATTTTCTACCTGAATCTAGGTAACGCGTACACTATTATAGTAATTATATGATTAGTTGTAGTTAATAACAAGACATCTGACTCCGAAAAAGTGAGTAGTTGTTCTCTACACGAATTTATGTAACGCTTATACTGCTCTAGTGATTACATAATTAGTTGTAGTTAATAACAAGACACCTGACTACGAAAAAGTGAGTAGTTATTCTTTACATGAATCTAGATAACGCCTAAACTCTTATAGTGATTCCCTAAATCATTGTAGTAAATGAATACAAATGAGGGTAAAGTTATTAATTCCTCTTGATTTTATAAATGACAGAATGAGTCATTAACCCTTTTTGTCATTTACATAATTTCAGAAGCCAATCTGAAATTCCCTACGTTCCAAGAGTTTTTTTTTTGTGGGATTTTCTCAAAATAGACTTGGTTTCTAAACGTTCATGGAGTTAAAAAAACACTAAAAGTCGGGACGCAATGGCTCATGGAGTTTAAAAAACAAATTGCATGTCAAAGATGAATTGGATCAAAGATTTTTTAAAATAAAAAACGGATTAAAAATTAAAAAATTTGTTGGATATTTGTCGCACTGGGCCTCATCAACTGCATTTGTTTTTTATCGAAAAAAATTTTAATTAAAAAAAATTTAAATCAAAACTAGTCTTACTAAGTACTAACGTCAATTAAAACAGAAATTAGGCTTACAAGTTACATCTATCTTCAATTTTTATAAAGGGATTTTTCATCAAGAATTTCATCAAAAGAAGCTTGAAATTATTAAATCTCAAGTAAGAAATTCTAACAAAAATGTGTTGTTATTTACAAATATAATGTTGTCAAAAGTTATTAAAATGTTGTTACCAAACTTAATTTAAAATTTAGTAATTTCAAACTTCTTTTTATAAAATTCTTCTTTTTTATATCAACTCATCATAATATTGAACTACTCTTCAAGTAAGTCCAGGCATGAGAATCTTTTTACCGGTACTTCCTCATATTCTTAATGTTATTCCCCAGTATATACCAATTAATTTGAAATTAAATTTGATTATAAATATAAGACTTCAAATTATTTTGTATTACTTTTGACCCAAAAAAAACTGCTTTGCATCCAAGTTTGCTATTTTTTTAATTTAATTTAACTAATTTATAAACTCATATATAATTTAGTATTACATAGAGTTATTTTTGGTAGATCGGCAAAAATTTTTGATAATTAACTAATTCATCAAACTTTCTTAGTTTATCTAGATTAATTAAATAAACTCTTATATTAAAGACTAGAAGAAACATGATTACTTGAGATATTTATGCATTTAAGACTTGAAGTGCCTGTAAATCCCTAACTGAAAAATATTTATGACATTAATATTTATGCATTTAAAAATATTATTTCAAGAAAAATAACGATATTCACACATTAAAACTTAATTTAAAATATAAGAAAATTCATAAAAATATTATTTATAAGTCATAAATAACCATATGTGTTTCATAAAAAAATTACAATCTAATTTCAACTAAAAATGAGTTTAGATTTCTTTTGGCAAAGAAAAATGGAGTTTAAATTGATAAAACAGTTTTAAAATATTGTAAGTGGGATGGATATAGTAAAATTTTCTTCATTTTCATAAGTAGGAAAAGGAAAAACTCGTGACCTTGCACAAAGGGCAAAAACCATTAATCATGATCAAACACAGTTGTCATTAGGTGCGTTTGGTTATGTATAGAACCACCCTTTTCTTTTACTTTATATTTAAAAGGGTAAAAAAATGCATCTAACATTATAATTTTATTTTCAAGGTATGGCTAATACTTTAATCTTATTTTTTTTATCTAAGATCTTAATATTACTTTTAGTGCACCCAGCATACTAAAATTGAAGATGCTAGATATAACTAAAAAAAACATTGGGAAGCTAAATGTATTAGGAAAATAAGTTTAGAATGTTGATCGTATTATTAAGAAATTTAAGGTGTCGAATGCACCTAAAAAATAAGATCAGAATGATGGATAGACATCTATCTAATTTAAAATAAGATTATAATATTTATATCTACGTCTAGAACAAAATTTATTTAATTTTTTTTTTGTGGTTGTGAAATTATTATTTATTGTTATTTCAGTTAACGATGTGAAAGAAATTTGTCAAAAATATAAAGTTAAGTATTATCTAACATGTGTAATCTTTGGCAAGTTCTATAAGAAAATTATATGGGAACATAAATAATACAATTGATTCATAAGCAAAAAACCAATATGTTTGATTATAAAAATATAAAGAGCAATAGTATGACTTATTCTCTAATTTTTATTAAATATATGAGGATGCGTGTCTAAACTTATTATAGATTTCAATCCCTAATTGGAAGAAAAGCAAGCTGCACAGCTCATCACGGATTGAATAGTCAACTTCCCACTTCAATAAAGTCAAGCAATGTTTTGTTTTTTGTTTTGGGTAAGTAAGTCAAGCAATGTTTTGTCGATTTTCATATATATATATACACACACACACACATATATGCTTTAATATTTATTTTTAAAAATTAAAAAAGAAATATTTTTTAAGTATGAACTTTATATGAAAAAAATCATCAAATCAATTTGATATGAACGGATGCTTAATGATCAAAATAGACAAAAATAAATCTTCATCTTCAAAAATCACATAAATACAACTTTCGTATTCTCCTGTGTAGTCATTTTTATATATATATATATATATATATCCAAATGTGTATATATATTTATATATAATATAGGATTTATAGAAATTCATACTATTTATAAATTAAAAAAAGGCAGCTCATTCATCAAACTCCTTATAAATACCGGGCAAGTGAAAAAATAGTTTCTTTTTTTGCCAACGGAAAAATAGTTTTACAATGTTAAGACTTGAGTGCTGAGTGGAAATTTTAATAAACAAATGATTAAATAAAAGGAGGGTTAATGACTTGTCACCAAATTTCAAGGGAAGTAGTTATTCAAATAAATGATTTGATATGGGGAGGGTTAAGACTATCAACTTAAATATATTTGCTCAATAAAAGCAAGAATTTTTTTGAAACAAACTCTTTTAAGATATTGAATTTTTTTAAAAATAAAGCATGTAACAATATTTATTATTTTTAAAAAATATACATTTAATCATTTAATTTCATAACAAATTTTATTTTTTAACCGGGATAATAAATTTTACTTTAGTCTTTTAATTTTTTAGGCGCTCAATAAAAGCAAGAATTTTTTTGAAACAAACTCTTTTAAGACATTGTAATTTTTTTTAAATAAAGCATGTAACAAATATTTATTATTGTTGAAAAAATATACATTCAATCATTTAATTTCATAATAAATTTTATTTTAGTCTTTTAAATTTTTAGGCTTCATATTATTTTTTTCAATTTTTAATGTTTGTTAAAATACTGGACACGTGCCAATTGATTTGGTTTAAATTACTATAAATCTTTTATATTTACGCTCTCTTGACTTTATATTTAATTTCAAATCTATCTTTCATATTGCTCTCTCTTCCCAAATTTTCACCGTTATGATAGTTGGAAAAACCTTTTTTTTTCCTTTAAAAAAAATCCCGATCATGTCATCCTTCATTGTCACTCTAACTTGACATCATTTTTTCTCTTAGGCCCCCTTATATCAAAGGGTAAACATTGATCTTTTTTCTCTCCAATTTTTTGCATGATGTATCTAGTATTCTGATATTATTATTTTATTTATATTTATCACTGTAATTTTTAGAGTGTTTGATGCATATTCACCCTATATCAAAACCCATTCTTCTCGCATTTCTTAGGTTTAAGGTACTGTCAACATTAAATATGTGTATTTCAAATTCTGATTTGTTACGCCGTAAGAGACTAGCTTTTTCTGCTAAAAGTTAGAAACTATATAGTGTGTGTATATATATTGCTACACAAGAGAATTACACTTAGGTCATAAAGAAAGAAAATAATTACTAATAAATCATAATAACAAGTACACAGTTATCATTTATTATCCTGAAAGTATTTGTTTGCATACTACTCTGTTTGTTACCTAGTCAGGAATTCATAGCAATTTTAACATCCAAAATTCCAAATTTCATCCCAGCGCTGAGGAAGCCTAGAGCGTTTAGTCATTGTATGAGCACCAAATCAGAACGCAACTTTTCTTGCCTCTCAAAACACTACACAACAACTCCTTGTCCTTGGATTCAGTCGAAAAGGGGGTTGAACACTCATAAATGGAGTGTGTTTGATCCTAAGCTGGTCAAGGCTTTGGGGGAGGAATATTCACAACTAGTGAAAATAGAAGATTTTATTGATTGGGTCAGTCAAAATGGATTTGCTTGACATACTTTCGTGCCTGCAGGCAAAGGCCCCAATGGATCATAAGTGAACCGGACCCTTTCCTAAAATTTTGTTTTAAAAAAAAAGAAATAAGCACCACACAACACATGACATGAGATCTGCAGCTCACTGAAATTTATTTTGTTGGTGATAACAGTTTACTGAGGTTTACTGTGAAGATAAAGTTGGATATATTTATACAGCCTGTAAAACTTGGATTTGCACCGACGCAAGAATTAAGAGGCACACATCTCTGGTTGGGACCCATACCACTCAGGAGAGCCTCAAAGGGCTCTCTCTCGTTTACACCCACACACCCTTCCTGCCATTCCCCCAATCCCCCAAAGGCGCAGGCGGTGGGCGGCGTGGGATCGGATCTCGCTCCTCCAGGCATGTCTTTCTCCGGCGCCGGCGTCGGCAGTAGGTTCATGGCTTTCTCTCCCTCACCGTCAGCTCTTCACTCGCCTCATCTTTCCGGTCTTCGCTCTGCCGCCGCCTCCTCTGCTCTCCTCGAGCAAGAGAAGTATGCTCTCACTCTTTGATCTATGTGTCTGTTTTTTCCCCTTTCTCTCCAGTTTGAGTCTCGTAGGATCTGGCCTCGGTTTTCTTTGTCTTTGCTAGTTTTGAGATTTTGGGTTTTGGCTGGTGTTTGTTCGAGATCTCGGTCTCTGTGGACCTTATTGACTTTGATCCTTGTGACTTTTTTTAGCTAGGACTGTGATTTCGTACTTTTGGATGAGTTCATTTTGTTTCACCGGGCGAAAATGTTACTTGGATCGATTGATTACTAAAACTACAGTCGACTATACTATTTGGTTCCATTGCTGTGATTTTCCCCCGATTAAAGATCGCGCTTCTTGGCACTCGCTAGTTTATCGATTTTTGTTGCATGATCTAGTTGTTTATCCTTCTTCCTTACATCAGCATTCTAGCTGTTTCTCCTTCTATAGATGTGATATCTATCGTTTCGAAAACGACTGCTTGAATTTTCTGATGATGTCCGAGAAGATATTTGTTGAATAATGCAGATGGGATTGATTCAAATTTGGAGTCTGACCTGCAGTTTTATGTTACTGCTTTTAAGGATAGTTTAAGTGCCCATCAGGTGCGTTTAACAATGGGTCAAAATGTTATGCTTGAGTCCATTTGGTGTCTGGATCTTGGAATGCTACTGGCCTGCCCACCCCGGAGAATTGGTTGATCTTGTTACTTTTTTTTTTTTGAATGTAGTAGTGATAGCTTTTTTAAGTTAAGCTGTATCCATGTAACTGGCTTTATACATATTGTTCATTTATCATATGTGAGATATTGTCGTTGTCTTTCTGTGTGGTTTAAGCTTACCATGGTACTATTTCACCTATCCACATTTTGCTACCTGAGAATTTGTGTGCATCTCCTTATAGGGCATGAAATAAATGTCTGACTGTCCTTACAATGTACATTTCTTTTATTTTTCAGATATTTATCTGAGTTACTGGAAGAACGTCATCATCTTAGTCCTTTCACGGCTGTGCTTCCCCTCACCTACAGATTGTTAAGCCAAGGTCTGTTGCTTTTCTCAATATACTTGCATGCATTTACAATGAGTTTCAAGCCAATCCTTCTCTCTTCCTCACTCTTCCCAATTTTGATCGTTTCAGTCTAGCATTAAATAGCACAAATGACATATCGTGCTTATGTCCTAGCACTTGAGGCAAGAATCTTTGATTTTCTTTCAAGATGCATAGTTCAGTTTCCTACAGGGAGTTTTGGAATTCGATTTGTTTTATACACAAGGCAATGTAAATGTCCTGCATATAGGTGAATTGGGTTCCTCAATTTCAAATCTGAAAGTTATAATCTTTTTTCAAATGGAGATGATCCAGTTTGACTTAAGAGCCATAGCTTTTATGTTGTTCTATTTATACATATCATTCATGAAAAGACTTCAATGATCAAGCAAATAGAGACTAATTTTCTATCCAAAATGAAATCAGAGAGCTATATTCTTCTGCATATTACAAGTGATATTTGCTTCAGTGCTTGCTTTCATTGTTTTTACCCCCATTTAATTTGATTTCTATCTAATTTTCTATGTTCCTAGATTTGAAAAGGGCATTCTTCATTAACCTCTGAGTGCTGTATTTCTTGGGATATGGTCCATAATGCAGACAAGTGTCACCTTTTGTTTTGAGAAAAACAGAGAGATTAGCTTCTTTTCTTTCCCAGAGTTTAAGGTCTTTTAAGTGTATTTATGACTACAAGATTTATTTTCACGTGTAGATTGTATGCCAACCAAAACACCATAACTGGTTTTCATTCAGACTCTCGAGTAAAAACTAGTATTTTCTCTCTCTTCAATTTACCCTGTATATCCTTTTGACCTGTAATCGAACTAAATGATATGGACAAAGATACTTACTTGCCATGGTCTGATGGGAAAATATGGTGTTGTGAGTAGTAGTGAACAGTTGTTATATGGATATGTATGTGTGTAGGTGGATGAAGAATGTAGCATTGGATATGAAAGTGTTGTTTACAAGTCTTCATGTGGAAGATTTAAGGACACTTATATTTTGTGGGGAAAACTGACAAACAGATGATATGATGATTGACAGTTTTAATGAAGCGAGGCTAACCTTTCTAGTTTTGTTTACTTAGACTGCCTCTTTTTTCTCCCACTACCCTTTGTGAGGAGGTGGTGGTGGGTTGGGATGTGAGGTTGGATCTTCAAATATATACGTTGCTTCTTGAGCTCAGCTGGGATTTTAACGCACTTCATTAATGCTTGTTAAAGTTGGACTCTTGATCAAATAAGGAATGAACCATTGTAAATGAAAAGGCAGAGGGTAGGTAATGTTTTACTGGAGGTGCATCAATAGGTAATATGATGGATGCATTTTGAAGGATTTTTGTTACAGCAAGAATTGTGGCCCCTTAAACACCACTGCTTATCAGAGAGGGTGTGTTCTGTCTTGTGCATTTACTATGGAAATAAGTGCCATCTGTTTAGGATCTTCCTTTGACGGTCATGGTGGTATTTTCCTCTCAAGAGAGGGTGAAACCGTAGTCTGGCTGATGGTATAAGTCATTATGGCTTTATGTATAGTGCCTGACAATGAGGTATTTGTTCAGGCGTTTGACCTATCACGCTATTATGTGAGAGATGTTTTAATTACTGAATTCTTGGTCATTATGCAGGTAGTTACTTGTGTATCTTTTGCTAACCTGATTATTAGAAAAAAGTAGTTTTATTTTAGTTTATGACATTTTTTGTATATTTCTTTTTACTTTTAGCAGGGTGACAATTGACTGCATCTATTTCTTCCATCCTTGATTACATCCATTCAAAGCTAAAATTTATATTATAGGGGAAGCATTAATTTTTTACTGACTCAGCAAACATCCGTGTTGTCTATCGATTATGTGGTGACTGCTAACTTGTTAACAACTGCTGACTGGTACATCTTGAAAATTGACATTTTTGGAGCAGAAATTTTGCGTGTAACCACTCTGTTGGGGAATGCATCAGTTTTAGGTCAAAGTGGGCTTGAACATGGTAGCCCCCTGGCTTCTGGAGGATTATTTTCAAATGGAGGTGCCGATATGAATGGATGTGCATCACGATTTCAATCAGAAGTACGGATACTAACCATTAACATTAACTTCTTTTCCGTCTAATACTGTATTTTAGAAGCATTTCTGACAATTTTTACATTTCATGCTAACTCATAACATGTGTTCAGGTGCTTACAGGTTTAAATGTTGTTAGTGGCAGGTAGTGCTAAGCTAACTTAATCAAGTTCTGACAATCATTAATAGCTTAGCTTCTGATACCGGAATCCTGCTAAGGGTTCTGGCTTTTGTCTTCTTTTGGACTTGAGATATACTAGATTGGATGTAAATGATTGACAACCCTTAAATTTTGTGACCACTATAACTACTGTAAAATAACAAATGTAAATGAAATGTAATGCAATGTGTCAGCTGTGGAAACATGTGCGTATTAAGATGGGAATCTTGTTTAATGCGGTTTTGTTTTATTTTATTTATTTTTTATTTTCTTTTTCTTATTGGTGTAGCGCTCACACTAGTATTTTGATTATTTGGCCCCCATCTTATCATAGGAGTATAATTGTCTAATTCTCCAAATTAGAGGTAATGAGGTATTGACTGAGTTGCCGGAATAGGTTGAACACTGCCCTAATGTCAGCATGATCCTAGTGCAGTGATAGTTTCATATCTGATCTAACATATTATTTCCAATTATCTTTATTTTTAAAAGGGATCCTTGAATATCAGGGTCTCCAATTGTGCTTGCAAATGGCAACATACTAACATACTAAGTACATATTCTGTGCATGTTGTGATTGTTGAGTGCTACTTCTATTTTTGTGCTTATGTTTTGTTTCTCTCACCGTTTTTAACATCTTTTGAGCAGCTTTTTACTAATTGTCGATCTTCTTGGGGATCTCTCGGTGGTCTCTGATACAATAGTAAATTTAATCTTATCATATGCATTCCATATGATAGAAGCACTTTATCTTTTATTGTTGTGTTTAACATTGAGTTTGAAATATGCAGGTCCCAGGCTTGTTACAGTCATCATCAGCTCAAAATTGGCTTAGTTCACAAAGTAGCTCATCTGGTCTTATTGTTAAAAGGACAATCAGAGTTGAGATACCTGTGGAAAAGTATCCTCATGTATGGGTGAACATCTGTCTATACAACTGTCTATCCTTTTAAAAGTCTATTCTTTTCTGTATCTGGTGTTGACTTGAATTTATTGCAGTATAACTTTGTTGGCCGACTCCTAGGCCCAAGGGGGAACTCGCTGAAGCGTGTAGAGGCTAATACAGAGTGTCGAGTTTTGATCAGAGGACGTGGTAGCATTAAGGATCCAGCTAGAGTAAGGATGAATGTTCACTATGTCATAAATGTACCATGATCTATTAGCGAGTCATCTGCACCCATAGAAAAATATTGTAATGTTGAGAGCAGACGAGAATATATCTTACTGCCATATAGTATATATGTTTATCTAACTGAAGTGTTCAGTTAACACCAGGGATTGATGTACTTGTGATGTCCTGGGATTCATGTGCTTCCTGGTGTGCATATCTTGTTCCTTTTTTATTATTATTTTTTGAATTTTTCAATCATTATGACTTGGTTTATCAACCTGTCTTATCTTGATGGTTGCGAAATATATGCTCGCAGCTTTTGCCCCTTCACATGCTCTGGTGTCCAAAAAACCTGTTAAGCCAAACATATTAACCCACACCCTTTAATATTTTAATATGTTTCAGTTGGTTAATTAGGTTGTTCTGTTAGAACATTTTTATTTCAGTTAGGTCTGGAGATCACTGGCAGAAAAAAGGGTCTGCAGATCACAAGCTTGAGTTGTATTAATTATATTTTGCAGGAAGAAATGATGAGAGGGAAACCTGGGTATGAGCATCTGAATGAACCTCTGCATATTCTAGTTGAGGCAGAATTACCCGTTGAAATAATAGATGCTCGCCTGATGCAGGCCCGTGAAATACTTGAGGATTTGCTTAAGCCTGTGGTACCTACACCTGTCCTTTGTTTAAAGAAAAAATTAATCAATATTAGCAGGGTTACCCATCCTTTCAGGGGATAATGTTTGTAGTAAATACTTTAATTTTTTTTCCCATTTCAGGATGAATCTCATGATTTTTACAAGAAACAGCAGCTTCGGGAATTGGCGATGCTCAATGGCACGCTTCGTGAGGAAGGTTCTCCTATGTCTGGGTCTGTATCACCATTCCACAACAGCCTTGGCATGAAGAGAGCTAAGACCAGGGGGTAATTCAATCAAGGATGAGAGGCTTTGGGAGCTTATAAGTTAATTTCTGCAAGTAAATAACACTTGCCGAGTCACAGGTGTTGCTGTGTCAACCAGTGCTCTGAACCACCGTCGGGGCACTGGCAACATAGCGCCAGTTCTAGCTTGTTTCTATGTGCTTTGTGTTTATATTCTGTTTGGGGGAAAGTTTAAAAATGTTAGCACGTAGGAAAGGTCCAAATGAGTTTGGGGTTTTCCGTTTATTTTTATTGTGTCACTTAGCAGTTTGGTTGGATATCTAATCCAGCCTGTCTATATAATATATTAGGTTATCTACTAGACTTGCTATGGCAGTTTTGGTATGTTGGTGGAATTCTTTGTGAGGAACGTGATGTGTATGGTTTGTACCAAAAACATGAGGCAGATAATGATCCTACCCTAATGCGTGATGTATGGGTGACATTTTGTAATATGGAATGTAGATTATAGATTTGTGAAATGTATTCTTTGTTCATGGTAAAGCTTTTTCTCCCTTTACTATATCTATGTATAGTACTTGCTGCTAGTTCTTATAGATTATTACTGTTGTACATTTTCTGGGCCAATGGTTGAGTGCCTTCTCATCTCATTCTCTGAAAGAAAACTTATCATCAGGATTTGTTGGGTCGTTTGATCGAATTATGCTGACATTGGAATGCAGATAAATCTCTTGTGACCATTTGTGATATCACTTTGTCATAATTGAGCAATAATAATGGTCATATTTAATCTCCCACATTTGACAATATTAATGGATCCAGACAGGGAAAAGAACTTTCATCACATAATCTCTATGGGCTATTGGCACGTGGCTAAACAAGGGAATAATGTGCTTTAAAACCGAAATATAGTCAGAAAATAGTGTTTTGAAATGGCATGTTATAATCCAGTGGATTAGACACAGCTGATCGGTGGACGTTGCACTTGACTTCTTCACAAGTATATCCTTTGCTTTTGAACTTTGAAGAGCCAAATCCTGTTAGTTTACACAATTAATAAGCCCAAATGTTATTGCCACCAGTGCCCTCTAGTGGTTGAACATAACTTATATCCTCCACACAATAAGAGAAAGATTAGAGAAGAGAGTGGATCTTTCTTTTTCTTCTCCTTTTCTTCTTTTAGTTCAGGTCCCTTTCAAACAGTTGCCACAGCTGCCCAATCTTGTTGGAGAAAAAGTAGTAGAATCCACAAGTTAAGTGTGAGGTTTTCAATTCCAATCTTTTACAGGTACAGTAGGTGCATGAGTTATACCCCCCCCCCCCACCCCCCCAAACAAAAAAGGTCACCGTGAAAGAGACGTTTTGAGTTTCATTATGCATCCGATGAGTTTCATTAATTACTTGGCACAAGCTATGCTCAACATAATGCAATACCACCCCTGAAGTCTATAGAACCAGAGAGAGCGTTCAAGAAGCCAACCAACTTGATATGGTAACATTTTAAAGAGGTAGTTCGTTTACAGCCATCTTTTAACATGAACATGCGTTCTTACACTTCAGATTATCTACATGCTTGGGGAATGAAGACTTCATTTCTTTTTGTTCCTTTTTCCCAAAGGAAAAAAAAAAAATCAGTGTAGCCACTTGGATTTTTTATTGCAACTGAAAAACCAAAAAGCCCTTTCTGAAGGAAGTTGCTTGGGCTGACACACTTTGCAACCATTAACACTAAATGCGGAGCCAATACGTTTAGATTACATAGTACAGACTCATTTGTCTTCTTCATTGTCTTCCTCATCTTCAACTTCATCAATCCCAACCCAACGGGTAAATGCAAAAAGAAATTCCTTGAAGCTCACCATTCCATTATTATCCCAGTCCATCTCTTCTGCAGAATTTTGCAAAGATCAGAAAAATTAATTAGTTGGCAGTGAATAATGCTTTTAAATACAAGTAAAGTAAAACCATGAATTTTGACATGTTTGCGTAGTTTATTCAAGACTATCTTCAAGTTTGCCAAAGAATCTTTCTTTCAACTCAAGACAGAGAAGTAAAATAATACTGCGAGCATGTAAGAAACTTGTATGTTCATTGTTTAGCTGCATAAAAAACTAAGTACTACCTCCTTTCCTTAATATAAGATTTCTTTTGACTTTTATTTTGTTCTTAAATATAAGACACCAATCCACTTTGTTTCTCATATTTGTATATTTTTTCCCAAGGTAGTCCTTTTCATAATAGTAGTTGTAGCCAATACACTTGATTAGCAAGAATATTTTATGAAAGACAACATCTATTTATTACAAATAACTAATTTAACTTATTTCCTTAATCTCCTCAAATTAGTTAACTAACTCTTATATTTAGGACCGGAGCCAAAGGTAGTATTTTCTAACCCTTCAATAACTCAGAATTGATGCATGACCAAGGGATAAACTAGGTCTAGCTGGTTTTACTTTCACGTTAACGCTTGTATGTTTTGAAGCGTAGAAATATATCAGATACACAGGCAGCCATTCTAGATGTTTCCGTAAGGATTTTGAGGTACTAATACTGCCAAGTACCTAGACCTATAAATGTTTCCTCTTCAGATGTTTGACAATGTGTCTTATAATCTTAGCTTGATGACTTATAGCATAAGAAATTCTTAGTCAGTTATCAACCGACAGGCTCTTTCGTTCTGGCACAAGAATATGAATCCTCCACAGCACTATCATATGATGCATGAGAGATTTACACAACAACACAACTATGTACACGTTTGCCTTGGTTATAAAGGTAAGACCTTAATACACTTTATCTCACAACTTCATCATTCTTTTCCCAAATAATCCTATTTATTGCACATACTAAAGGGAGTCTTTATCAATGAGGGTAATTTCCAATGTCAATGATCAAAAAAGGTATTTAAGAAAATGAACACACATTTATTACAAATAACTAACTTAACTAATACTTTTAATCTTTGTAAATTAGTTGTTTAACTCCTATATTTAGGATAAGAGGGAGTAAGATTTTTGTTTGGTATTAATAGAAATTTTGGTTTACACATGAAAGCACACACGAAGAGACTGGAAAAGCTAACCAAATCTTCTCATGGCTATTCTTCCAGATGAACGCTCTCCTGATGTAGTTTCATTTATAGCTTCGACCATCTCATTTCTGCTGACATAGCCATCCTTATTTTTGTCCAAGAATACAAATGTATCGACCAAAGTCTCAAATGTAGCCTCCAGATTCGGCATCCCAATTCGCGATTTCTAGAGTAAGTCATGGGGTCCAAAGATGAAAAGTAGTAAAACATGTAATTTCACAGCTTGTGATTACCATCCAAAAGGAGAACAAGGAAACCTAATATGACATCATCCATTTATATGTGCTCTAAATTCAGATTTCATTGCTAAAGATTTCTAAGCTCATAACAACTATACCTAGCCAACGATATTTTCTGTTCCACAAGTTTAGGAGATTATTAGATCACTCTATGCAAAATAACATGCATATAAAACTTCAGGTATCTTCCTACCCACAAAGCGCACACACACACAAACAGATATCTACCTTCTATAGGATAATGTCATGATGAGAAATAAGTTGTTTCGAAAAAAGGCATGAGCCAGAAAGAAGGTAAATACCAGAAAATTTTCCCAGCACAAATGGAAATGAAAGTGTTCCTCATGCTGAAATATGCAACATAATTATAATAAATACATGGAACGTGTCATGCAAAACCTGGCATGTACTTACATTTACCAAAAAGTTTTTTTTTTTTTTAAAGAAAGTTGCAACACGTAGATAGCAGCAACAGATGGCGGAGTTAAGAAACTTAAATAGAATAAATAATTTGTTATGGATACGGTTCTAAGGGCAACTGGATCATCCTTGAAGAGGTAGACAAGGCAGAGAAGCACAATAAACTCATTGAACTTCATTCCCATATCATCATTAATGTCACATGCTTCAAAAAGATCCTTGATCTCCTCCTCGGTGAAAGAAATATCCAACTTATTGAAGCATTTTTTCAGCTCTTCTTGATCAATTACCCCATTTGAGTCCTCATCTATTCAAAAAGCCATAAACACACACATGTTAGCTACTATAAAAGGATCAATTGAGCATTTTTCTCTGTGCGCGCGCGCTGGTGATACAACCATTGAATTAGTGAATGTTTTCAGCACTGTCAAAGCCTTAGGCTATGTATAATAAATCGAAGTTCAAGATACAAGAGCAAGCACAGATTAGAAGTTTTGGTATGTTCTGCTGTCCAAGTGTAACCCAATAAAAATATGGAAACTTTCATATAATCTGTCCATGACTCGGGCATATACTTTCACAGTGATATACTGTATCTATAACATGCTCCTGCTAGAAGATATTCCCAGCTGATATATTATATCTAACTAACTGTTTAGCAAAAGCATAAACATGAAGTGGAGACCTACCAAATTGCTCAAATATGGATTTGCATTTTCTTAGATTCTCATCAATTTTTGGGAACTTCAAGATTATAGTGTTGAATGATCTCATGGAACTTCCTCGAGATGCCCTCCGCTGCATGACTTCAACCATTTTAGCTTCGACCTTGGTTTCTGGCAACCAAACCCTTCTTGATGCCTCTTCTGTTCCTAATACACCACCCATTGCCGATCAGCAAAACAAGCAAGGCTTCAGGCAAGATCCTTAGGTACCTGGGTCAACACATATAAGAAAATATTTATTACACAACATAGATATGATGAAGCAGGAAATTGCACTACTTATAGGTATGACTAATCTATACCAGAATTTAAGAAACATGGACCCTTGACCTGACAGCGATTGTGAAACCAAAAACACCTTTAAAACTCAGATTTCTAAGGATGTAAAGTGGTGATAACAATTGGAAAGCTGAACATTAATAAAAAAATCAACCCATAAGCTCAATATTGAGAGAAAATCACATTCGGTGTTGTAGGTAATATCATAAAGCTTTAGGCCCTCGAGAACCTATCAAGTGTCTCTCTCTCTCTCTCTACAGTCTGCTTTAGTGCAAACCTGTTAGCTTCCAGCAAGCACACTAAGTGCTGAGTCTAATCAAAATGTGAAGCCAATCAACCATGAACTCTTAAATTCCTAGATGCTTTCTAAGAGCTTTTAATATATCAGTTTTCCACTTCTCAACCTCTCAGCTTTTCCATAGCACTCGACGGTTCAGTGGACCAAAAACATCACCATTCAACGGTACGGACAGCTAATTTAGGGATTCACGTATCCTTTTTTTTACTGTATTATTAAGAGAAACGATGCTTTTTCCCCGGAAAGGAGAGAGACGTGCTATATGTTGATGTAGCTGACGACATAACCTTCACCATATCAGAATCAAATGCAATAATGAATAATAGATATTGAATGCAAACACGGCCGATCCCTCAAATTTGTTCTTTTTTTATAACAAGAAAAACATTGCATGAAATCCTAACTGGCCCACAGTAACATCAATTTCATAAGCGAAAAAAACAGGGAGAAAGACATGAGAATTCAAACTTTACCAAGAAGAAGAAGAAGAAGAAACGAAAAAGTATGAGGGGGGGGGGGAGAGAGAAGCAGGATTTGAGCAAGCTCCTGAGAATGAAAACTGAACCCGATAGGCAGCAGCAACAGCAGACAGATATCGAAGATATATTTTCAGATATACCCAAAAAGAATCAAGACAAAAAAACGGGTATGTGGGGAAAAAATTGGGCTTGTGCTGGTGGAGATTGCAGAGAATGGAATCGGTGGGATGAAGATTGGAAATGAAATGAAAATGGCTAAGTTAGGAAAGCGAGGGGTTATTTGTTAATTAGAAGAGTCAAGGCTTCATCTTCATGTGTGTCAAGCTAAGTTTGTGTTGTGCCCACCACGTATTGTTCTGCGCTCGGTCTAAGCGCAATATCATCTGCCTTACACTTATAATATTGCGCCACCAAGAAGCAACCCCTGAACCCACACCAATAAGAAATTAATTTATAATTCCATTCCGCGGCCGCCATCTTCCTTCTTCCCTCTCCTTTTTCCAAAGCCTTAATCTTGTCATTGCCCAAGAAACAAAACTCAATTTCGATGCTCACTCCAGTTCATCCAAATGGCAATATTACGTAAGACCAAAAAATTAGTTAAAACAGGTTGAAGTCTGTAACAAATAGTATATTTTTTCCAAATATATTCTTATTGATTGAAATGCTTAGATCAAATTTTTTATACTCATTATGTCAAATTTTTCAATCAAATATAACCATGTATCTGATTTTTGAAATATTATCATTCAATTATAAACCCACACAGTTAAAACAAAACACATAACCATATATGATTAGAGAACTTGACTTAATGAATATAAGAAATTTGAGTTAAATATTTTCTGAAAAAGTAATACTCTTCTAAGCCTATTTATAAACCAGGGAGAAAAGATTTTAATCCTCATATTGAGATATTAATCCTCATATTAAAATCTTTTCTAATAATTTTGCATTTATGACATGGGAAATACGAGTAAAATTATTCGTTGTTAGTGATGGGGTCCTCATAGTGAGATTCAAAAGGTTGGGGTGTGTGTACACACACAGGGGAAAGTGATTCATTCTCAATTATGCTTTTGGATACTCTTAAAGTTTGCCATTGAGCTAATTGGAAAGAAATTAAAAATAAGAAGAGAGAATTATGAGAGAAAGCGATTGGTTTGAAGTAGACGTGGTAATGCGGGCTGGCGGTGCGGATACGGGCCAGCCCGCGGCGGTGCAGGTTGAAGTAGCCAGCACCTTGGCGGGTTGGCGAGCCAGCCCGCCAGCCCGCCTACATATTTTGTTTTTTTAAATAAAAACTATTATTATTAATATAGGTTGAGTTTAATTTGAAATGTTAAAATTAAGCTTCGAATCTTGAATTTGAGTAGTGAGTTATGATAAAATAAAATGAAGATTAATTTATAATTTAAGAATATATTTTTAAAAACTAATATATTTTTTATAACTAATTAATTTAACTATTTTTTTATTCAAAGTAATTTAGTTTTCGTATTCAAATTAATTAAATAGATATTTTATGTATAAATGTATAAGTATCACATGTTTATTTAATTTTATAAAGGCTTTTATAGTGACACAACAAATAAATGAAAAATAAAAAATGGATGATGATCTTCGTATAACTACACACAGAATCACAAATATATAAAATGTTTAATTACTTATGCAATGATATGAAAGAAGCAATGTTTAATTGTTTATGTGGAATTTAAAGGTCAAAATATTTTAACTATATTAGGAATTATATGAAATTTTTTTTTAAAAAAAAAGTGGGCCAGCCCGCCAACCCGCGGCGGAGCAAGCTCAAAATGGTGCGTGCTAGCATATTGCCAACCCAAAGGCGGGCTGACAGGCTAGGCCCGCAGTCCCAGCCTGTATTACCAGCTCTAGTTTGAAGAATAAGGTTCCGTGTAATCCAAGTGTCTAGTGACTTTGCGGAAGTGCCTTGTGATGATGATAATCTATGAGCAACATAAAAGTGAATTTAATGATTAAAAAAACATATTGTGGTTATCCTCTCTCTTCTCATTTCCAACGTGATTATCCTTTCTGCCTCTAGGATTTCTCCCAATTGTTTGATTAATAGTAGTTGACTTCGAGTCGAATTATTTATCTTTTTTTTTATTTTTTATTTTGACCCTTTTTTTTGGTTACACATGATATGAGGAGAACCTGAATGCATTAATAATAAGAGGCTTATCTTGGTAACTTTTTTACTTTTGGTGGCCCATTATCATGGGTGCGAGCCCACTCTTCTCCTCGTCCGATATTTTTTTTCAGGCAAAATTTCACTTGGCTAATTTACTAACCCAAAGTCAACTATACCAGTTGGGATTGGATCTCCCTCACAAAGTGGTGAGTTAAGGTTTAAATTTTTATTGAAAAATATACTTACATTTAGTGTCTAACAATATCTCGAATAAAATTGCCTTTAGTAAGAAGATACCTGTACATAATTTAAAAAAAGAAAAAGCCTAGAGTCAAATACTAATACTTATGCACTTGGACTCCTACACTTCTAAGGAACGAGAGACTCTTTCTTTCTTCAACACGCCAATACAAATATCATAACAAAATTTGATATTGACAATATTATCTAGTCATGTGAATACATTGACCTTAGAACAACAATGATTAATTATGATTGCTATAAAACAAGCACATATTTTATCTTTGTTACCTTTTCTTAATAATAAAAAAAAATTTGAAAAAAAGGAGTCGGCAGCACGTCTCAGGGTCAAGCGCTAATGAGCACATTGAACTATCTATGTGGCCAAGGGTTCTCACAGTCCAAGCACAACAACACAATTATCATGCGCACACTCTACCACTAAGTTCATAGCCCATCGTGTAGGCCTCCTACTGGGGACCTGCTATCTCAAAAGTGAGAGGAACCCCATCCCTCTCTTTCCCTTTTTGCGTCCCCATATTGCCCGTTGTAGGAAATTTTAACATCTCAAACCAACTTAAAGTTAACATGTTAACATGTTAATGGTGAAATTAATGCATTGTAATTTTAAAAGGAGCGAATTAAGTTTTCATATGAAGAATTGACATGTTAAAATGAGAATTTGCACAATAAAATTCAAAGAAATCAAATAGAAAGCTTTGTTAACGTGTTTAGAAAACAATTTTGATATGTTAGACTTTCAACAGAGGAAAAATTCAATTCTTCAAAAATAATGATTAATTTATCAGAATAGTTATTAACCAAAGTTGAAAGAGGGGGAGGCTATGGACGGTAGGGGAGGGGGAAGATCATTATCACTATCTTGTTCTTACTTTTCTCTTTTGTTTTCCTTTTTTATTTTGAAATTTTGGATGAAATAGAAAAGAAAATGAAAATGACTTTTTCCATTGTAAACTTCAAACAAATTTAGATTAAAAAAATGAAGCAGTTTGGGTTTTTCAAATTAGAATATAAACTAGGATCTTCTCCCTGTGCGCTGCACGAATCGTTGCTATGCATGTAATTTTTTTTTTGTGGGTTATGTATTATTGTGCTTGTTTGAGCTGTAAGTTATATAAGAGTTGAGGATGGTTATGTGGTTGCCTGAAGTGCATAAATGTGAGTTAATTCCGGAGTCATAGAGTTCTAAACATAACATAATTTTGGTTGTTGTCATATTGATGATGCGAAGTTGAAAGGTGGTTGGCAAATTGGATGCTTTAGTTACGCCGAATGGACATTCTAAAAGACCTCCCAATATACCACACTATAAGTAACGTTGTTGGAAGATCTCTTGATAGGATCTTCTGCCCGTGCAGCTATTGTTTATGGAGTCTCTTTGTTAAGTATGTATTATTCTATTTGATTAATTCAAGACTAATAGAGGAGATGAAGTGTGAAGTACCATCTGTGGGCTGCCTAAATGTAAATAACTCTCATTTTGTTACAATGCGCCGCATGACAGTACTGTGTAATTTTAACAAAGGAAGTTCTCATACTAATAGTGTGAAAATAGTAGTCAATCCATGACGATGAGAATGAGGTCATTTTGAATGCACATTCTGGAAGACTTCCCTGTAGACCATATTCCGAGTAACATTCATGGGTTTACCGTCAGAATCAAGGATCAATATTTTGAGGCTGTCCATATTCTTGACCCTTGACAACGCAACACATAGCTGTCCATGTGTGAACATCGGCTTGGGTAGGTACAAACTGACATTCGTTAACGACTAGCCCTAGCTCTTGTTGATAGTCGTTGCAAAAGAGATTATGAACTAGAATTGTTGTTTGGTTATTTTGAACGAGAGGGTGGTCTCTGACGAATTCATGTCCATGCGGTAGATGAGGACCTGGTCACTGATGCTCATTTTGTTTAATGCGACTGCCCTGACAAAGTTCTTGCCTAGATATGTGATATGCAGCCTCGTTCTATTGCATAGGCCTGCAGACTGGTCAATATTCCACAAAAGCATTACTAGTATTCTAACCTTTAAAGAGAGCTTGTGGGGCAGCATCTTGGAGCAGTTTATGGTGTTGAAAAATTTCGTGGAGTACAGATCTTGGAATGAGCTGTTGTCTTGATCAGTGCTGGAGACAGAGTCGAAGTTGAGACACTAAATAGAGTCTCTAGGGATGAGCGATAGTATATAATCATTTATCTGGTCGATGACATCGGTTATGGGGAATAAAATTATACCATCGCCAACGTCAAGCAACCATCTGGAGAATTCATTGTACTTTTTTTGGTCTATTACCTTTAATACCGACTATAGGCTCATGTTTTTAGTAAGCTTGAACAACTTATATGCTGGCCAAAGAGCGGATGTGTTTATAGTTGCATTTATACAGAATCCCTTTGGTATAACGGGCAATATCTTCCTGAAATCACCCCCATGGTAATGCACTTGCCACCAAATGGCAAGTTGCACCTCATTATATCTTTTAATGATCGATTGACAGCCTCCACACAGTGTCATTTTATCATTGACGCCTCATCCCAATGATTAATTTTGCAAACCGCAGCAAATGAGACAGGGGAACGATGGCTAATGTTACATGTGAAGCCTTTGTTTATGTTAATGGGGTTTGCAAACCTCAAATGAGTAGTCCTTCCTAAGGGTAACTGCTATTCCACTCAACCGGACATTGATGGCCACGTCACCATTTGCTCGTATAGTTGTGGTCAAGGCATTCCAGAAGAAGGTCTTGCCAGTGCCCCTATAACCATAGACAAAGTACAACCCACTGGTTATCCCATTGACCACATCGAGGACTTCATGGAAAATCTTTCTTTGCCCATCTGTCAATGACGCTACTAACCTTACGGCAGCTGCGGCATAAGCATCTCTATCGTAGCTGAGTTTTTGGAGTAGCAAGTTGTTTGTTGTGTCCAAGAATTCAGTGGAGCTTGGT